AGTTATGAGTCAAAGGAGCGAAGGAGCAAAAAGCGACTTAGACACACAACACACACACACACACGCACACAGACCCAGACACTTGAAGTGCACAGAGTACAACAGTATGTGTGTGTGTATGTGTGTGTGTGTAAGTGTAAGTAATTCACATTTCAAGCACGTTTCGCTTTTATGCTCTTAAATGGCGAGTGTATCTGTGCGATGCCTTCTCCGTCTCAGCATCTCTCCTCTCTCTATCTCTTCTCTCTCACTCTCTCGCTCGCTTCTCTCATCGCCCCTTCGTGCCGTGCTGTGGCAAAACGATAATTTTGTTGATGATGCTATGATTATAAGTTTTAGTCCAAGACCCAAGTCGAACAATGGGCGACCGTCACCACCGCAATCAAGGGTTCAACTAGCGACGTTTACATGTGCGTCAGATTCCGCTGCTGCTGCTGCTGCTGCTGCTGCTGCTCCTTCAGCTTCAGCTTCTCGCATGTCTCTTGCTCGCAATAGTATCTGTATCTATTTCTAAGTAAATTACATACTCTACACACACACACATAGCCATCCGAGAGACGGTCGAGCCATAGAGCCATGTTGTGTGGAGCCGGAACAGAACCCGGAGCAGGAGCAGGAGCAGGAGCAGGAGCCGGGGTCGCATCCTTTTCGCGTGAATGACCCACATAAATAGCCGCGTGCTGAAATCGGTCGTTTTGCTCGCTCCAACTGTTGGTTTTATGGACACGTAGCAAACAAAGAGTTGCTCCGTAACCAAAAAAAAAAAAAAAAAAAAAAAAGAAGAAGAAAGCTGAAAACATTTTGTGAAAGGAAAAGAAAACTCTATTCAACTGGATTCCACGGCTGCCACTGATCACACTGCTGGGCGTGTAGTATTTTTCATTATAAATTCGAATTGATTTCGCCTCTCTCTCTCTCTCTCTCTCTCTCCCAATCTCTCTTTCCGCATCGTTCTTTTTTATACATTTTTTTTTTTTCAATTTACTTTCATTTAACGTTACATTTCCGTATTTTCATTGTCTGGCTTCCACTTGTTTTGTGCTGGGTCAGTGAAATACGCTGAATACGCTCTGGCATTGCAGCCAGCACTCAATCACAGTGGGCGAGAATACAATTAAACATATGTACATCTAGCAAAATAGTTCTTACAAATGCTCTCTCTGTAAGTGTGTGTGTGTGCCTGTAGTAAACGTTATTGAATGGCTTAAAAATTGTAATTTTGCACATATTATGAATCCTCATTTTTGAGAGAGCAAATGAATATTTGGAAACTTATTTTAGACGTATTGACTGAAGCTGATCTAAGATTTATCAGAAACGACTGTATTAAGTACAGCAGCGAGCAGTTAGTCTAACATTGTAATAGATTAGCTTTATCAGAGATTTATATTTATAAGCGATTTCGGTCATTCGTTTCGAATTTTTTCTATTTCTTTTTTTTAAGAAAAATTTTGGTAGAGCATAATTTCATTAATAAACAAATAAAATTAAAAAATAAAAAATAATAATTTATATTTTTATCTAAATAAAAAATTATATAAACATAGTGAAAAATGATTATTAATATGATTATAATATGTATTCATTAATTATATTAATATAATAATATAATTTTTTTCTTAAGCAAAAACCTTCTGCAAAAATATATTTCTATAAGGTTTAATAGACAAAAGATAATTTATATAAATAAAGAAAAATCAATTGGAGAAAAAATAAGAACGAAAAATACAATTTTTTGCGAGTTTCGAGTTACTTGATACCTAACACAATCCATACCATCATAGCACGAATCTTGAAAACATGCAATCATTTCTCTGCCCAGCGCCAATTCATTAGTAATGTATCAGTAAAGAACAATATATTAGAAAGCGATGCGAACACGCTAACCTCTCTCCCTTTCTCTGACTCTCTCTCTCTCTCTCCTTCTCTATCACACTGACTCCCTCTCTATCTCACTCCTTGCCGTATTTATTACATCTTCGATTTAGGCCAACGCTGCGTATGCGTAATTTTTTGCAATACTCAAAAAAAAAAAAATAAAAATAAAAATAAAAAAAAAATCAAAATACAAAAAAAATGTTTGCTTATTTATTGCACACACACGCATCGTCAGCATCTGGTTGTGCTGCTGCTGGCCGCACTATAAATTTCCAACATGACACGAGCATGTTCTCTATTTGGGCTGCTGATTTATTTTTGAACTAATAAAGAGACGACGGCTGTGTCTCGCCTCTGCAATGTCTCTGCAATATCGTTAAGTGGGTGGCCTGGACGGGCCCATGGCCGACAGCGTCCTCGATTGGCCGGGGCACAAATTATGGCCAGTCTATGCATTGAACATGCTCGTAGGCCCAATCATTTGACATGCGGCACAAGTCAACTCACACATGTTTGGCCAGCACAATTTGCAGACGGCAAAAAATTGCCCTCAAAATTAATTCACTGCTGTGCAGACTGTGGTGAGAGAGCTAGGAACTGAGTGAAATTACTAACGTGTAGTCAGCCAAAAGGTATGTTTAGATATCCTATATATATAATACTATATCGCAATCAAATGTCTAGAAGACAAACTTATACAAGTGACTTGGAAATACCCAGAACCCTGCACTACTATTTGAATAATTAAACTATATACCACGCCTCCTACTGCCTGCTGCATATATTTTCCTGAAATTATACCTTTTCTTATATTTTGCCTATACCTTAAACTATACATTTACTTCAATCGAGCTACAAAACACCCTCAGTTCCCATTTTCAATGTGTGTGTTCAGAGTTTTCAATATACATATGTATATGTATTGAACATGGACGAAATTCTGATGATTTCACAGTTGGGAGAAGTCAACTCAAACATGTTTGCCCAGCACAATTTGCAGACGGAATAAAGTAGCTCTTTAAATGAGTTTACTCACATATTAAGCTACCCTCTATTCAGTTCATACATACTCTACATACTTCTATTTCAATAGAATATCATAATAAGAACTCTAAATGCATGAGATACAAAAGTCTTTTCAGTGGGAGTGCTCTACCTTCAAAGACCCTAAACTCTACCCTGAACTCTACTCTCTTATTGTTTCTTCGATATTAGACTGGAATTTATCACGCCCCTTTTTAAAGAAACCAAAAATGTATAACGATGTACAGAGAATAAATTCTCTCACAAATTCCATTAGTCTAAAGAGAGGATCTACTATACAGTGAGTACCATTAATATTAGTTTTTTTGTTTTTTCAATTTTTCTTCCGGTTTATCTTTGTTAATTATGTTAAAAATATTATATTGATACATACCTCATCGAAATGGCTATTTTCCAATCTACAATTTAGCAGTTAAAATTAATATTATATGTTTTAAAAGCATTTTAATTTGACAAATAAAAAGAACGAATATTAAAGTTACTCACTGTCTATATATTGCCATATGACAAATTAAACTTTATAATAATATATATTAAGCATAATTTCTTGAGTAAACCTGAATGAATCAATTATTCAACTTGATTAACCCTGACTATGCCACGCCCACTTTAGCCTGCTGCATTTTCCAAAAACTATTATAGCTTAAATGAGCATTTTCAGGGTTTTCCATTATATGCTGCTATTATTCATTTATTGTATACGCCTGACAGCGTGCTCAAATTCGAATAATGATTTAGTAATTTAAAATTATTTCGTACTCGACTCAAGCTGCAGTTGCAGTTGCTGTTGTTGTTGTTGCTGCTTCTACTCTGCTCTGTTGTGTTGCTGTTGATGTTGATGTTGTTGTTGTTGTTCAATGTTGGCTTTGACTGTTGCTGCTGCTGGCAGTTGTATTAACTGTTTGCTGTTAGGATTTGGCATACTCATGACCCGTGTCACCCCTGGCACCCATCCATGCCACCCATGCCATCCATGCCACCCATGCCACACCTCTGGCACGTTCAGCCCGTGTCGAGACAATGTGCAAAATGTTTACACTGCACTTGGACGGCAGCTTGTTGTACTGTCACCGAAGTTGTTAACTGTCAGCCCGGCATTAATATTTCAATTTCGTAGCCCTTTACATGTAGCCAAACAACAAGAGCGAGCGAGTCAGATTGAGTGACAAAGAGAGAGAGAGAGAGTGAGAGCTGTTCGTCTGTTGATGCAGCGTCCGCAATGACTGCCAACGTTTGTTGCAATCAAGGCATCAATGTCAACAGAACACTTGATGCCAAAAATGAAGATGCTTGCTACATGCTGCATGTTGCAAGCTACATGCTGCATGCTGCATGCTGCATGCTGCTTACTGCATGTAGACTGACGTTGCTGCCACGACAAAATTAATTTTACGTTTTCGGTGAAAGCTAAAAAACTTGACAAGCTCCGCTTAACTTTTCGCTCAAGTTTCATTGCAGCGGCTGGCGGCATGTCTGTGTGTGTGTGCGTGTGTGCGGATTGTCTGCCTGTGTGTGTATATGAGTGGGTGTATAAATACATAGCTGTGTGGGTGTCTGGCTGCGAGTGCGTGTGTTTAGGTTTCTGTTAAGCACCACGCTCTTGTTTGTTTGTTTGGTCTTTTCTTTTTTTTTTTTTTTTTTTGTTTTTTATTCCAAAAGTCTACGCTAATGTTGTTTTTGTTGATTTTGCTCTTCCATTACACTGTTTAACAAAATTAAATAGAGCTCCAAAAAAAATTATACGTGACTACGTGCCAGGTATTTATGCTGGGTTAAAGTCAAAGTACCTAAATTATGCATTAAATTAAACTTTCATTTGTTTTTTATTCACATGCATAATTCCATAAATTTAATTCAATATTTCGCTTGTCTTCAATTCCTTGTTGCCCACTTTTATTCTGCACTTTGTATTTATAGTCTGAGCCTTACGAATTCTGACGCATGTGAAAGACATTTCCATCAACCAAACGGAACTCGAGACACTGGTTTAACTTTTGATTAAGATAAGTTTAAGCATATGATATGATTTCGCTGGATAATTAGTAGAATAATTAAAAAATAAAACAAACTTGTCTCTCTTTTTGTTTTTAAGTGTATATATTTTGTTGCTTGTTGTTGCTTTTGCATATAGGGTTTGAAAACTTAATGCTTATATGGATGGAATGACGTAACACCAGTTGGGTTTGCTTCGTTTGCCAAGCCTTTCATGAACATGATTCAGCCGAGCATAAAAGCTTCCAAAAATTTACTTAGACTACAACATTTAAGAACTATCATCAAAATGCGAACAATAATCGCGAGAACTTGATAGCCTAAATAATCAATAATTATAATAATAATAAAAAAAAAAAATGTTTTTGTTTGCTATCAGATACAATTGTGTCCTAAGTGTACGAAATTTTGGAATAATAATATAACTTTGATGTATTTTATTTGATTATTATAATCGTTATCGTTATCGTTATCAATAGTTCAGTCAATGAGTGCGCATGCCATAGTCAAATAGCACTGTCAAACAAAAGTATAAATAAATATATATGTATATACTATATATGTAGATCGTTTACAATTAGTCGAGCAATAATTCTTAAGATCTAGAATTATATATGCATATAATAAATTTAAGAAAAATATTATTATTACTAGTGTTTTTTTTTTTTTACTATCTTCATTTTTTGAGTTTTTCTCTTGCGTATCTCTCACTCTCCCATTAGGCAAGGCAAAAGAGCTTCTTCCAGAAGGGCGGCGTGGGCGGCAATGTTGTGGGCACCAAGCCCTCCCAGATGGCTGTATCAAAGACGTCTTTGACTTTATCCTGCAGCAGAGAAGAAAAAGAAAAAGATTTATAAATTTAAGTAAGACTGTTGAACACAAATATGAAATGTATGTAGGATTCTGAAAAACTATGACATCCCTATGAAATGAACTAGAAAATCATTTGTCGCGAGCGCAAGCATTGAGCTAGTTATTATGAACCGTTCGTAGAAAATTAAAAGAGGAGTGTAGTAGTAGTGGTAATAGTAATATTACTCAGAAGAAGAGAAATGTTTAGAAGATGGAAAGTTGCAAAGATGATATAATAGTGAAGAAAAGATGTCGGCGAGAAATTTAAAACAGATAAGAAAGTTGATCGCATATTTGAAATCATATTTTAATAATTTAAATGGAACTGAAATTACTTTTTAATAACAAAGTCATAAAAAATAATAAAATTGTGTTTTATTAATGAGAAAAAATATGAAAATTGACTCCAAATTAAATAAAATTCTTGCATGCATTTATTGTAAAAGGTCTTATCTTATTTGAATTATTTACTTCTTTCTTTCTTTCTTTCTTCTTCTTCTCTTAAAGACATTCGCTTTGAGCATCGCTGGCATTATAGTTAAATATCGATAACATTATGGTTAAGTATCGATAGTTAGCTAGAGTGCCATGCCCTCTAGTTGCTATACAAATCTACATATCAAGTCAATTGCTACTTTGAAATGCTTAGCTAGTTTAGTATCTAATTGGATCTGATAATATTTTCTATTTATTATTTAAAAGACAACTATAAATTTTAGTTAACGGCACATTAATCATTGTAGACAACAAACCAGTCTATAATAATCCAAAGATGCAATTCCGCTGCAGTTGCGACTTATGCATTATACTAAATTAAATTTTCTGGCCTAACATGACGAATGCGTGCTCTAATTACGTATACGTAATATAAATAAAAATAAAAAATATATATCCATATATATAATTACATATATGTATGTTAAAAAAAAAAAAAGTATGTCCAATTAAAATCCTATTTTTTTTCTTGCGCTTATTTAAAAATGTAAAAAGAATTCCGCATTCGGCGACAGCGCAATTGTTGTATCTTTTTTTCTTCTGCTTTTTTTTTTTTTTTTTTTTTTTTTTTTTTGTGCAGCAATGCGAGCAAATTTCCCTTGCGTGCTCGCAGTCAGCATTGGCGGCTTCTTGGGGACCACATAAAGGTGCGAGTGCATTGCACGGCCAATACAAAAAACGCTGCCATCCACTCGAAGGAAGTGGTGTGTCGGCAGTGGCAACGCAAGCGACAGAGCTTGAGCCACCAGAGGCAGCAGAGGCAGCAGAGCCAGCAGAGTCAGGCAGTTGTTATTTTAGCAGTAACCAGCACGAACACCGCACAATTATGATTATTGTATATGTGTGTGTGTGTCTGTGTGTCTGCGTGTCTGTGTGTCTGTCTCTGCGTCTGCTTGTGGCTATGGGAAGCAAAGTGTGGCACATTACCTCAAAGGCAAATGTCAGCATTCAGCAGAATTTTCCGTTTTTAAGTGTTTGCATACAGACAGCGACAGCCCAAAGGATTTGTTGAATGTAAGTTGTTGTTGTTGTTGCTGCTGCTGTTGCTGTTGCGACTGTTGCTAGTGTGTTAGTGTTTTTTAGCCATTGCTGGTGCAATGACTTCGCAGACTTCGCCTGCTGCTGTTGCTGCTGTTGCTTTAATTAATATGATGGCGGTTGAAATGCTTGGCCCAACGGCATCAGCAATGGCCACAGCAATAACAACATCAACAGCAACGGCAACAGCCATCTAAACATTTCATGTGAACTCACCTGTGTGGCTGAGGAAGTCTCGATGTATTTGGCACCAATTGTTGTTGCCAAATCCCAGGCGTCTGCATATGAAATTGGTTTCTCGCCATTTGTCTGCTCATCCATGGGAAAGCGGCACGCCCGAAGCACATATGAAATCAAATAAGAATATCATAAATATTTTAACAATTCGCTGTTCACACACACCCACACATACACACAGTTACACACACGCGCGCCTCACGCTGACAAATGAGAATGAAGTCAAGCATGAACTAAGGCGCATAAATAAGCAAAATCAACACGCAGCAGCAGAAAAATATCAAAATAAATAAAAAGAGCACAAAGGCTAGGGGAGAGACGAAAGGTGTAAAGGGGATGGGGAGAGAACTCACCTGCGATTTATTCAACACATTCAAATCGCTCCTCAAGTCGGCCTGGGTGCCAACCAAAATGAGCGCCGCCTTTGTTTTGGCAAATTTGGGAGCCCATTTCGATTTGATGGCCCCAAACGTTTCGGGCTTGACCACCGAGAAGCACAGCAGAAAGACATCGCTGTCGGGATAGCTCAGCTCGCGCAACGGATCCAGCGTATCCTGGCCGGCGGTATCACAGAGTGTCAAGTGCACTGGACTCTCGTTCACATTGACTTCGACTGAAATTGAATGAAAAAAAGAGACGAACATATATTAGAACAAGTGTTAAGAGAAAACGAGAAAGAAATAACTTTAGAAGATAGTGTCCGCCAAGGACATCGATTATGATCGATAACTCAAATTTGATAGCAGTTTCAATCGACTTTATTGAAAAGCTATCGATTGTTTCAAATAAATTCAAACTGACTTCTCAAGAATTCCCTTAAAATGAGGCGAACATACAATATATGAAAACAAGTGTTGAAAGAAAACTAGTAAGAAATATGTCTAGAAAGGAGTAAAGAGTCAAAAAGTCTAAGATAAGTCCCTGCTGAAGTGCTGCTGATCTCAAATGTATAGATGCTACTATTCGATAACTCAAATTCGATAGCATTTCCAATCGATTTTATTGAAAAGCTATCGATTGTCTGAAATAAATTCAAATTGACTTCAACTGAGCTTCCATTCAAAAGAAAAATACATATGTATGTATACGTATATTAAAGCCAGTGTTAGCAGAAAATAAATAGGATATAATTCTAGAACGAAGTCTCAGAGATGTTCCTGATAAAGTGGTGCCTATCTCAACGACATAAGTGATATGATTCGGTTTGCAGAATCACACTCACTCCCTCTCACTCTGAGCAGGAGACTTTGATTTTGATTCGTCTCCGTTTTCTGTTGAGAGCCTTAGGCTCAACTATTCGTGTGACGCTCTCTTAACGAACATCGTTTAGGTAGGGATATGATTGACGTTCGCATAATGAGACTTAGTATGTGAGCTGCTTCAGATTCCCATACACATGTACACACACACACACACACACACACACACACACACACAAGGCTAAAACAACTCGCGCATGCATACCAATACATACATAAAAGACTTTTTGCTCCATTTAAGACTATGAAATGGTTGGGAAAAAACCCAAGCAAAAAGAAAGGAAAATTCTATCCATACATATAACGTTTTTTCTTATACCATAGAAAATGATTATTATTGTCGATATAAAAATAGTGTTTGTCTTTAATTTAAACAAAAACCATGAGCAACCTCATAGGGTTGCCAGATGGGTCCATTTAATATGGATAGCCCTGTGTAGTAATTGATAATTCAGAATCAATAAAATTGTTATTTTGTATAGATGATAGATCAGGAATATATACATATATGAGATCTGCCACTCTATCTTCTCGAATTTGTTTATCCAATATTTTAATCAAAAATAGGGAATCAATTTACTTTGGTTACGAAAAAAAAAACACCTTTTGCTTTGACTTTACAATCTAATAAATAATCGATTTTTATCGATTCACTCCATTTCAGGTCTTAATCCTAGCAGAAGATTTTCCATTTCAGGAAGCAGCAACTAGTGTTTGTCAAGTCTTTTGGTTTGTCTGTTTGTCACTCAAAGTCAAAGTCAGCAACGGTAATCTAATTACGCTTTATACATGAGAGCGCCGATTGCATAGTATTTAAATGCCGTCTGTCCGCTGAAGGTAGATTTTTCAGGTGCATTTATTTTTGATAGATTTTCAACTGGAATTTAATTTAAAATGCTTCTCAATACATGACTTGCCGCAAATTTTCGGCATCGCATGCTTCTCAGCGTAAAATTCAAACACACACACATACATATATATTTATATATATTGACTAATCCGCCCTTTGCCCCAGACACCCAGACACCCAGACACTAGCCCATTGAGAGCGAACTATGCCAGGCATTCACCTAAGCCATTGTGCTGCACTTAACTTTGAACAGACCTGATGCCAAAACCTCCGGCTAACAAATTCGGACCGCATCCCAGACATCGCAACGAAGAATGCTGATAAACTATTGAAGACCCCAAAATGCTTTTAGCCCTTGCACACACACACACACATACACATACACACATGCACACTCATACGCACACACGCATGTCATCTCAAACGGTATGCAATGCATGACATTTTCAAAAGTATTTCTCAAATTACTTAACAGCCGAGCTGACGAATCATTTCCGAAATGCAGAACATTAAATTCTTTTGTAGAAATTAACGACGATTCAGGTAATAGATATATGAAAATTTACCCAAAATTTAATTCGAATATTCCCACATGAACCTTTGACAAATTCACACTCCGATCTGGCATTGTATAAGAGCAGGAGACGAGAGTAAGTGAATGTGCATAGGCAGGACATGTTAGATACCTAGAAGATTCTTTTACTGACACCTCAAGATTCCCATGTTAGCTATTTGAAATCCGAAGAACTCAGTTGAGTGACCATTCGCTTAGATTAGATTTTATAATAATAGGAGATAAAAAAAAAAAAAAAATCTTACAGTTAAATTAAAATTTAAAAAAAAAAATAAAGTGTGAAGACTACATATAAAAAGCAATTCAAAAGATTGCATAGAAAAATCGTTTTATAATTAAATTAAATAATATAACAAAAACAAAACAAAAATAATAATGTAAATAATATTATGAAAAATTACAGGAAATGTAATGATTGCAAAATTCAAATTGTTTGTAAACAAAAAAAAAAGAAAATCATACAAGTAGAAAAATCATATAATTATTAAATTATATTATACTTATTAAAAAAAAAAAAAAAAAAAAAAAAAAAAATGAGAAAATTTTAAGAGGTTAAAAAAAAAAAATAAATAAAAATGGAAAATAAAAAATACAAATTTACAAAAAAAAAAAAAATTGATTTATAGAAAAATCATAAAAAATATACAATTTATAAAAAGAAACGAAATTTATTTAAAAATACATATTTTATATAAACGCAAAACAAATGAGAAAGCTCTATTCAAGACTGCTCGACCCCTTCAAGGAGCTGATATTCTCATCTTCATAGGCATGTACGTATGTACACACATACACACAGACGCATACTTGCTACTTCAATAAAACTAGCATACGACATTTGTAATGGATGCAGGGTATAGAATCTATAGAAGTTTACGAATATAATAGAGGAATAAATAAATATATAAGCATATATATTTATACATATATACATCATCTCCTTCCACCCACTGTGCGCCCAGTTTCAATTAGGTGCCGCAAAGCAAACGCCACATCGAATCAATCAAAAGCACTTAAAAAATGCAAATTACAATTGAATTGATGTAAAACATTCTTCGACTCGTGCGGCCACAACAGCAGGAGTGAGTGTGCGCATGTTGTGAGCATGTTTTTGGTCAGTGCTCTGCTTCTTCTACTACTACTACTACTACTACTACTGTTTTTTGTGTGTGTGTGTGTGTGTGTATGATTCAGCAATGCAGCTATGTAGCTGCGGTTGCTGCAACTACAATCCACAATTGTGTAGCATGTTGCAAGTTATTTGTTTGACACCAGAAATGTTGTTGGAAATTGAAATGCGTGCAACTTGAATGCGTTTTCCATGTGAGTCGAAAATCAGCATGGCCCTTGGCCATTCCGCGCAATATGTGTCCGGCTATAACTGCAGCGAGTGCAGAGATGCCACCTAAAAGTATGCAACATATTTAGCAGGTCGCCAGCATCTTTTTAATTGCTTTCACTGCATGTGCGTGTATGTGTGTGTGTGTGTGTGTGTGTGTGTGTGTGTGTGTGTGTTTTGCGCTCTGCTTGCACTTGCAACAATTATGATGAGCCAGTGGCAAGTGGAATTAGCAGCGCACGGTAACCATGCCCACATCCCACTGCTGCTCTGTGTCGCCAGAGCTCTCTCTCTCACTCTCTCTCTCTCTCTTTGTGTGTGTGTGAGTGTGTGTGTATTTGTGTGTGCTCAACATGAATGCAGTTCATTCATATTTTAAGCGCGTGCAATATGATTTCAATTGCTGCCCTCAACCAGAGACGAGTGCGAGCGAGAGAGAGAGAGAGAGAGAGAGAGAGAGAGATTCGAGTGAGTTTTAGCTTGTTTCTCATGCGCCGTCGAGCATATCTGACCTCACGTCTTTGCCTAAGCCAGGATCCCAAGCCACACAGTCATTGTGTGCGCGTGTGTATGTGTGTGTGGACCCTATCTAAAAGTTAATCATGACTGCCTTTCAATGCAGCTGCTGCCGCTGCCGCTGCCGCTGCTGTTGCCACTGCTGATGTTTACGCTGCGTAAATAAAGTCGCTGCTACCAGTTTTTAATCAGCAGGTCGCCGAAGGTCGCCCACATGGCTCATGTAAAATAAATTGTGCTCTTCAGGCGCATAAATTTCATGAATGCATTTGCAAAGATGCCAGCCACAACGAACGACAGCCCAGCTCCAGTTCAGGCACCAGCCCCCAGCTCCCAGCTCCCAGCTCCAATCCCCGCTACAGTCCCAGTCGAGCTGACGCTAAGCTTCAGCATCAGGATGAGGCATTGTTTGTTAAGCTCAAGAAAAAGCGCACACCTATGCCCTACTACAGCTGCTTGCCACCATGCGTGTCTATTGCAATCGCCGTATACCCTGTAATGAATCCTATGACCATAATCAATTGATTGCTGGCATGCCAAACTATTGTGTTTAACATCATCTCCAAGCTTTTGAGCTCTTCTCCTCCACAATTCCTAGCAAGCTTACGCTGCAGTCTAGCAACACGTCTCTTCTCTGGCCGACTGCAGGGTATTTATCGCTGAACAATACAGCATAAAAAATCATGGCCAAACGGTTTTCTTTGCGAACGCCTTTGACTGCTCGGACGGACTTGGAGCTTGACTGAAAGCGCTCCGCATTGCTATCTCCTCCAGCTGGCAGCCAACAATTGTTCTCGCACTCGACCTTTGCCAGGTGGGCGGGTGGCGGAGGTGGAGTAGTGGGGGTGTGGTAGCTGCAAGCACATGTGCAGCTCGAATGCCACTTGATCGAAAATCGGATGAATTTTTATGCTTGTTTCGCATCACCTTTGGCCATGTCTTAAGCTAAGCACTGGCAGTTGGCGTGCTTACATATACCCTGTAAATTATATATGTATGTCGGCCATATAATTTCGATTTGTTGGCATTTGTGCTGTTGCATACTTTCGGGCGCATAATTTAGAGCTTTTTTTTATGCCTCGGCTCCGCTGGCTTATTAATCGATTATCGATTTCGGCATGCACATAAAAGCGAAATACGACCAAATAAAAGTTGACTTCACGCATTTAACAGCGCGTCGAACAAAAGCGCCACCCAGCGGCCAAATGGCGCATAACAAAGGAAGACAAAGCGTTGTTAGCGGTTGCAGTTAAAGACGTATGTGTGTGGGTGTATATGCGTGTGCGTGGTGGTGTGTGTGTGTGTGTGTGTGTGAAGCCATGTCATTGTGTGTGAAATCGTTTCTTGTCGACGCTGCCTATTGAAAGCTAGCCAAGCGCTTGGCTGGCTTATTGAAACCTAATTGAGTCAGTCGCTGTCATTCACTCATTCGCGCAGTTTATCAATGGCGCAATAAAATGCTGAGAAATTGGTACAGCTCTCAATTAGCTTTCGGCTTTGCACATCGACACCAAATGGATGACGAGGACGACGACGACGTGCGGAGCAGACGCTCCAATTGGGACTCATCTGGCAATTGGCAGAGAAATAAGTGAAAATGTTTTCAGCATTTTGAGACGGACCTGTCAAAATGATAGATATATATATATATATATATGTACATATCTATATATATGGATAATATATTTAGTATATACATATAGGAATATGAGTTTGTCTCTTCATCATTGTATTTTCTTTCCATATTCAGTGTGCTAGTAGGAGTGCTTCTGCCCGACTAGCAAATACCCGGAATACCGTATGGAGCTACTGCTTGTAGTATTCCAGCTTATTTCGCTGAAAACGTACAATTATCGAACATTTTGGAAATTCTAGTTCTAAAGATGAACGAGATATTCATTTATAGCTCGATTTTGATGAGGTTTATCATCGATAACATTTTAATTGCAATAGTTATCGATTTTTCTTTACAAAATCGCGATTTATGAGTGCTAAACACGTACCTACAACAAAATATCTAGCCTCTAGTTCTCATAAATTCTGAGAGCAACACGTTTAAACATACGGTCGTACCGACAGTTAGACTGACAGTCCTATATCGACTCAGGTCATCGCCCTGATCAAGAATACATATACTGTGGGGGTGTGCCACGCCTACGTCTGCCTGTTACATATATTTCCTTAAACTATTAACCAAAATTCATGTACTGGTTCTGCACTATACAATAAAGATTAAAACACAAATAAAACCCATTTTCAGTGTGTTTAGAGTTGTTTAAATTAGTTATAAATCGAAAAATCAATGAAACTGGATCAATGATTGCTCGATCAATGATTGCTCCATTCTCTCAAAGAAAAAGCAGATAAATAGAGCTACTCAATCAACTTCAACCACATTCGGTAGTCCTTAAGTAAATCAAACTATTTCCAAATTTATCATCTCCAGATGCTATCCATCGCCACTCCATGTGGAGCAGGGTATCTTTTCGTCATTCACTGTCGACACTCGGAGCACTGCTACGTATTATACTTAATTTTAGTAGCTGCAGTTAATTAAACTAATGAGTTTTGATGGATGATGCTGGCTGCCTCGGCTGCAGCTCGGTGACAAGTTGGCAACGCTCCACATTCACATCCAAAGCCAAATCCATATCTGTATCCGTATCTCTCTGGCCTTCTAGTAGGTTGGCATTTGATAATTAGTTGAACTATGCACAAAAGTTAGATATATGGAATGCAACTGGATGCGAAAGCCCTTTGCAAATATGCAAATCACACCGATATGCATGCACATGTATGCATGTATGTGCACACACACACACACATATAGATTATGCAAACTTTCGTGCACTCTTGCTGCTCGGATTAGAATCCCGTCATGAATTTGTGAGTGTGTTTGCGTAGCGTGAGTGCGCGTATTCGGCAAATGGCGAATGGCAAATGGCGAATGGCGCAAACGGCGAATGCGTAATAAGTGAAGAATCAACATGGAAACAAAAGTGGCGCATCATCAAGTACCACGCCGCCTTGAAGTATGCGGCAGCAACATTTCGGATTAATCAAACCATCAAAAACCCATTCTGCTCAAAGTGCTTCCTATGTATTCAAATTAGAATTTTCCCTTCTGGGCATCTAATTCCCAAAATTAAAATATGATTTGATCAGCAAACTGTTTACCACCCACTTATCTCCAGGTGCGCACATAAAAATACATTTTTATGCTCGTTCACAACGTGAAATGAGTTTACTGGCTTTAAGCAATGTACGTCCGTTTGTCAATATGTCATTCCGTCCGCCCGTTAAACCCTAACTCATACTGCCCTGCTTTTGTCATTCACTATCGACTTATTCGATAAGCCGTTAAATGATATCGATAATAGAACAAACTTTGATTGACAAATGATTCCACAATAATAATATCTGACTACATTAACCTCAATCGCTATCATTGTACCCAGAATCCATTTTCAATGAGAAATCAGAGTATGATGGTATTATTTAATGTATGTAACAGGCAGAAGGAGGCGTGGCAGACGCCATAAAGTATATATATATATCCTTGATCAGAGCAACGAGCTGAGTCGATTTAGTCCTGTCCGCCCGTCCGTCTATCCATACGTTTGAACGCGACGATCTCTGAAGATATAAGAGCTAGAGACTTGAAATTTGTTTTTCTAGGTGCGTGTACATATGTATATCACGCGCATATAAAGTTTTTCTCAACAAATCGATAACTACTCCCATTATTTGTTATCGATTAACAACCATATCGAGCATTATTTATTAAATTATATCTCCAACATCTTTAGAGCTAGAGTCACCAAATTTAAATTGTTTCATATGTATTCATATGTATTTTATGGAATTTCGATTTTTGTTATATTTGTTAAATGCGTGTCTACGAGTGTGCGATTCTTTTGTAAGCAATAAGACGCAGAGTATTACTGAAATATCGGTTTCTCGAAGTGTTCAGGGCCTGTCATAGTCGAGCAGTCTCGACTAGAGCTTTCTTACTTGTTTTCATAAACAAGAATCACTTAAAGCTCAGCTGAGTCTCGCCTTAAAGCCCCAAGTCTCGCTCTTGATCCACGTCTGACGGCTGAGCCTGTCTCTTTGGCATCAGAGGAGCATTGCGGCACAAAATAAATGCACGCTCATGCAAAATTTATTAGAGTCCGACGTCAAGTGGCTGCCTTCAGTGGCGCATTGGCTCTGCCGCAACATGAGTGTGCCTGTGCCTGTGTGTGTGCGTGTGTGTGTGTGTGTTAGTGTGGTGCACAACATAATTCAATCACTTGCAAGTGCAAGTGCCTACGAGTTGAGGCCTCGAATGCTAGAAAAGATGGCGGCCACAAAAGGCAAAGGCGCTTGCCATTTTGATATGATCCCAAATGCGATTCGCTTGGCTCATCATCAAGTTGTTGTTGTTGCTGTTGTTGTTGCTACTCTTGCGGTTGTTGCTGCTGTTGCTATTGCTGCTGCTGCCGATGTTGCTGCTGCTGTTCTGAATAACCGCAAATTTCAATTTTCCGTTCATTAAAATTCGTGAATAGCACACATGCACAGCTCAATACACACACGCGCCCCACCACATAACACACACACACGCACACACACACACACACACACACATGCACTCATATGGCATGCGAGCGCGCAAATGCGGAAGCAGTGAAAGTCAAATGAAGCTGCCTTCCTGCGCCTGGCTTGTGCATGGCTAGAGCTGGGCTGGGAGTGGAGTGGGGTGTGTGTGTGTGTGTGGGCGTAGAGGAGTGGCTCTGGCTGTGGCTCTGCCTGCAGGCAGTTGAACATCATTTTCGCCTACTTCCGTCAGCTGAGTCTGAGGCCCACAGTCGAATGCCGAGCACGCCGCATCCTTCACACGGAAACTCAGTAAAGATTTCCCAAATTGGTTTTCAACAAAATGAAAAATTCATATACGCGGCAGCAGCGCAGTCAGCGAGAAGGCAGCAGAGAGAAGGAAAATAAAAAAATAAAAGAGAGAAGAAAAACCCCAGCCGAAGGTCGTGTTTGGGTTGAAGGTATTTCTTGTTGGTGCGTATCTCGAGTGTGTGTGCCAGAGTGTGTGTGTGTGTGTGTGTGTGTGTGTATGTGTGTACATTGAAAAAATGCCGTTAAGTAAACCTGTTGAAAAGCGCAGTCCACAGGCTGCCAAGGCAAGGTAAGGCAAGGTAAGGCAAGGTAAGGCAAGGTAAGGCATAGGCATTCAGCCCCAGTCAGGCAATCAATATTTTCACAATTTTCACGGGTCTCAACTTACCGTTATAAATATCTGATGCCGTCGGCACATGCTCCGGATTGAATCGATTCTCCAGATATGACAAGATCAAATTGGTTTTGCCAACAGCCCCATCGCCAACCAGCACGCATTTGACTGACGGCTGTGTGCCACGTTTAGCTAGACATGGAGATGGAGAGAGGGAGAGAGAAAGTGAGAGAAAAGGAGAGAGAATGAGCATAAGATTATTTGCTTGCAAATTGCAATTAATTAAAAACAAAGTGCAACAGCCAAAAGAGATAGAGAGAGAGAGAGAGAGAGGGAGACAGACCAACAACATAGAAACAGATAAAAAAGTCGAGCAACAAAATGATGGCAATTTGAAAAGTTTGCATCACTTTGCACTTGCTGCATTGTTGCACTGTTGTTGTTGTTGTTGTTGTTGCTCGGCCATTGTTTCGATTTAATGCATTGGCCGTCGTCTTTCTTCCCCCTCCCTTCCCCTCCCCACCCATCCACCATTCAACATTGCCACACCTCCTTACCTTTGTGCTCGCCATTCGCAGCCGCTGCCGCTGCCAGCGCAACGCTCGGACTTTCCGTTGTCTTCTTCGATTTGCGTTTCCGCAATAAAAACTTTGCACCTTTGCCGCTGTCCGCACTCGTATCGCTCAGCGATTGTTGCTGCAATGAGAGAAAACAAATTTCGCATTTTATTGAATGAGGCAGCTCTGCAGGGGATAGACTCGATTAACAGATAATGCAAGAGGCCCAACTAAACCAATAACTGGGCCAACGCCTTGCAGCTGCAGAACAAAGCAAAGCAGCGCAAACAGCAGATTGATGAACACTGCTCCAGAGTTGACATTCATTGCGGCGCCTCTTTGGCCCTCTACTTTAGCCTTATTCTCTCTATACACACATATTTCATACAAGTACCTAGACTTAGGATAGGTGAAAGTGACACCTGAAAGGATTCTACTGGCAAAAGATCTAGTATGTGCGATTCAAGTTACCTTATCCAGACGGGCCCACTAAGATCGTAAGATTTTGAGCATAATGCGCTATAGAGACATAGGCAATAAGCAGCATTAAAAAGAAAAAACTTCTTATCGTCAAAAGAGGAAGAGTGACAATGAGCTAGGACTCTCCATTGAGCTACAGAAAAACCTGATTGGAAAATAATTATAATAACTTTACTATAAAAGTAAGACGTAGACGTAGCATGGACAACCCTGAATAATACAATATATTAGTTTGAATAATTTATTATTCAAGTCGATAATTCGATATTTCTAAATTGCAAGGTGATCAGTTTTTTTTTTCGATTTATACAGAAATTCCAACTATCGAGATTATTGAGAACAAATTTTATTCAAGTGGATACATTTTTTTCTCGATTTATCGCAATTATCGATTTAGCGGGATATAAATTATCGAGACTCGGCTGTATGAAAATGGTAAATAATTCGTAATAGTTTTGAAATAATCCTATATACATATAAATATTAAATTCTATTATTATTATTAGTATTTTAATTACTTTGATTTTGTATTTGTATTATCCCTATTGTATTACATGTTTTCAATATGATTTTGCTATGAAAAAAGTGTGAGCAAAGCACAGCTCAAATAGAGCCCATATAAGGGCTGTGAAATAAATCCTAGTAGTCCCAGATGAGAGCCAGCTAGAGAAAGGGTAGTTTTTCTAGTCTGTAAGCAGATATAGAGTCTGACCTGACTGACTGACTGATAAAGCAGTCTTTTCTATCTCAGTCATAATTAATTAATTTGTATAATCATTTAATATAATAATTTGTGCAAGGTGATTATTATTATTGTTCCTATATTTATTATTATTGTAGTTCTATATAGTCCATAAATTATTTTGTCATAACGTATTTCCTACTTTCGTACTTCATCTTCACACAATCGATGAAGCTTTAAAGTCTCTTCTTCTTGTTCTTCATTGTCATCATCAAAAATTGCATACATTCTATGAGAGCTGAGTTAATTATCAAATTGCGTACAGATTTGCGCTGCTGTTGGCCGACGCTAATTCAATTCCGTTTTGAAGCGTGCCAAATGGCAATGCGGCTGAGAAACAAGCGGAAACAAGCGCACGAGACTGTCAATTAAATAATAAAAGCCATCAGATTGAAACGTTTTCTGCACATGTATGGGTGTGTACGTGTGTCTTTATATGTATGTGTGTGTGTGTGTGTGTGTTTTTCTGTCTTTGGGTGTGAACTAATTCCAAGCGCAACACTTTGCGCCGCTCGGGCTAATTTAATATGCACATATAAATTAGTCAAGACAGACGACAGACGACAGACGGCAACAGCCGTAAGGCAATGCAATCTTGACGACAATAGCAACAAGTACCACAACAACAACAACAGCAGCAACAACAACAACGGTTATTAGAGACGGGAGCATGGTGAAACAATTGACGCATTGCGTATACGACAGCGACACATAGAACTCGTACTAAAACCTAACTTCTCAGACAAAATTGCTAAACTTTTGTCTCATCTGGACTGCTAATTGGTTTAGCAGCAACAGAAGCAACAACAGCTACAACAACACCAACAACAAACCCTCAACACAGCAGCTGAAAAGCCAAATTAATTAAAATTCAGATTAAAACTTGAAAAATTCGCTTTGTTCGCTGCCAATTTGGAAAATGTCGAGAGCGCGTACATATTTAAAAAACACTTAATAAAACTAGCGAGTTTTGTGAAATTACAAAATTGACAGCTGCTAGCTGATTAACAATGGCAGCCCATTTTAATAATTGAAATCAAATTGTGGATAAACAAAAAACAAAAAAAAAGGAGCTAAAAAAATTCTACTGCCAACTTTATTCAATTAAATTTGATTTAATTAAATTTAGTCGCTTCATTGGTATCCAGATGATTTTAATTCGAGTGTCACAAATAGATCAATAAATGTTTTTAAAAAAGGGCAAAAAAAAAACAGGCAAAAGCAAGTGAGAGCGTTGCAGTTGGGCATTACTGACTGTCGTATACTCATCTACGGCCGAAACGCTGCCAGTTCCATACTCGATTAGCCACGCCCCCAATTCGTATATGTATATATGTATATATTATACAGCAATGTAGTCTTTCAACTTGCAGTTTATAGCTTGAAAAGTGTAAACGATATAGTTTTAGTCTATGTGCCACGCCTCCAAGGATTTAAAATTCAAGAGCATACCATGATTATTTTAAGATTCTAGCTTCAATATCATCGAAATGGCACTTAAACGGATAAACAGACAGCCGAACAGCACAAACAAATATACCCATTTCTCTTTCGTGAATAAAAAAGTAAAATAATTGAAATGTTTATTTGAAAAAATCCGGGTTTTTTTTTATCACATTTTATACAAATAGTAGCTTTGTCAGCCGCAAAAGTTAAGAATTTACGGAATTTTTTAATCAAATATCTGTTCGTGCAGCATTAAAGGTTAAGTACAGTTAAGTAGCTTCATTTATTTTTGCAAGCGAGAACTCTACGAATCTATTTTTGGCATAGCGTGCGCAACGTCGGATGTTGGATATCTCGGCTGTCGGATGTTTAGCATTTAATTACGTTCAAGTTTGACTAAATTATATCCAAGCTCATTTCCGCATTGCTTAAAAGTTAGTTAAAAGATAAATATTTCCTTATTGCTAGCAAAGTTAAAGCCGCATGGATTTTTTTTTTCCACAAATATCAAAATTAAAATCAAAATAAATCTCAACTTTAATCAAATTCAAACATGCTTTAATTGTTTGCCAGACACAACTCTTGGGCGCATTCTTAATTCTTCTTGTATTTTATGAATATTTTTGAAAAACACTCTACCAACTTGAGGTGAGGCATGCTTCGAAGCATTCAGTTGCTGTTGTTTTTGGGAATAGACGGGAATTCATAAAAGAATTCAGTTTACAATCTGAAAATTTTGCATGAATAAGAGGCAATTCAATTGTTCAATATGCAAAATATATCAAAATAAAAATTTGCTTGTATATTCTTGCAAAAAGAATTAGAGCAAGCCGTATATTACGTTTTGTGTTTATTATTTTGTTATAGTATACATAAATGATATACATACATAAATATAAAAATATATTTATTGTATATATCTATTGAACATATTCCCTTAGGCCTCATATGTTTATAATTTAGTAATGTTATAAATTTTATGTATATTATGTACATCCCACGCCAACCGGCTGGCAAGAAAGCTGCCAAACTCGAGGCCTATTTGCCAATTAAAAAGACGTTATTTCCAAAACCTTATCGCCACTAGAAGTTAACTTACTTAATAATATATGTTTAAATTTTAAACCGGTGATGTAAAACTTGCTTCAAGGGAGATAATAGATAAGACGCTCTGGCGCTTCCTCAATAAATAAAAAAAAATAAATAAATAAATAAAAAAAAAAATGTTGATTGTCTTTCTGCTGGTCAAGGAATCAAAATGAAGTAAAAAAATATAAATAAATAAAAAAAAAATAAAAATAAATAAAAAAAATAATTTTGTACATATGCAAGATATATATATTATATATGTAGGGATGTATGTATGCTCGGTATGTATTACACCACGTACGTAAGTAGGTATGCTAGTATGCATATGAGTATCTATGTATGTATGCATGTATGTATATATGTATGTACAGAACTAAATGTTGAGGTGGATATAAAAAAGGGAATATCGTAATTTATATTTTATATATTTGTAAACATACGCTATATTATAATTATTATTATTATTATTGTATATATGTATGATGTGGATATAAGAAAGAGGATATTTGTATTTTTTCTTTTTTTATAAACGTTATATTATATATATATATATATATATTTTTTTAATTTTATATGAATCAATAAAACTGCATATAGAATAAACATAATATATAATTTAAATTTAAAATCTGTGACAAAATTTTAAGTACATTTATAACATAATAGAAACCATCTCAACTCCTTCAAGAACATCCAGAATCCAAATGTTAACCCTAAATGAGCCCACGATATATGTCTATGTGCTAATATTTAATTAGAAAAGGGCTCACTCATTAACCTTTACATTGTAATTTTAGTAGCTTTCATCACATGCCGTAACTTGAGTTCAAATGCTAAATTAAAGCTGTTTTCTGTTGCAGTTCAGCTTCTCAGATTATTTGGTTGTTGCTTTGCATTTGCTTGTTGAAATGCAGACATTTAGCTACAATTTCTTGAACTGAAATTAATTGCACATATTGTTCGGATAATTAATGGTAAACGAATGCCAATGATTAAACGAAAATCTCAAATCAGTCATTTGACGATTGGCAATTACAACAAGAGTTCGGTGTGCCGCCGATGGTCGGTGGTCAGGCATTGACGTTGGCATTCACAGCATTCACAGCAGCCAACCTCAACTGTCTACCCCGCCAGCCCGCTAGCCCGCTAGCCCGCCAGCCCGCCGCCTAGGCAGCCACGTAGCCGTCGTGTATGCTCGTTTCCTGCTGTAAATACACTCGTTACTACACAAGTATTTACAGCGCTATCTAAATCAATATCTAAATTGCTGTGCGTCTGCGAGTCTTATTTTGGGTGGCATCCCCCGCCGTCATTCACCATTCGCCATTCGCCATTCGGCCATCCGTGGCAGGCTCCCGCTTACCGCTTCCTGCCCCGTTGAA